CTCAATATATGCATAAGGCCCACCTAATGACTAAAACGATTAGGTAAATTACGATATTGCAAAGTTTTAATGAAATAAATAAAAAATGTGTATGAATATTTTAACTAATTGTACTAAGAATTTTTCTTTCATTCTCAACCCTCTCAAAAATTAATAAGCACGCCCCCGATTTGCTGTCAACTGAGCTTACTTCTACTCTCAATCATTATTGGTTTTAGTATAGTAAAATTCACCATTGCTATAACCTGATACAGACCAAGAAGTAATCTAGAATTCTTTTCAACCTCTTTCACCCCTATCAACCAGAAAGGGTCGAAAACAACTCTGATTTCGTCCACAAAAAAATGACTTTCGTTCAATAATCTAGAATGTTCCCCCACTTACCGGTGTGAGCGCAGTAATATTGTAATCAGTCGCAAAACCTCTATATCCATCAACATAAGCAACTGCAACGTCAGCTCCAATCATCTGACTCTTCTGATCCGACCCGGATATGCCGAAAGAAAGGTATTCGTCTTCTCGAACTTGACCAGCCAGCTGGATTGTTATAGCAGGACCGAAAATCTCCCAAGAAACTTGAAAATCTTTATGCAGCTGAAGACAGTTTGGCAAGTCGTTTTTGTGAGGCTGTAAATAGAAGAGGAGATACTTTTCAAAATGGCTTCGTATTTCACATTTTTATTGCGATTTAACGCACTGCGCCATAAATTATTCTCTCTCATAATTTGATACTTTGGCATACAGATTTTTATTGTGACTTAACGCACTGCGCCATAAGTCATTCTCTCTCAAAATTTAATACTTTGCTATACAGATTTTTATTATGCCGTTACGCACTGCGCCATTATTTATTCTATCAAAATTTCATACTTTTTCCCGTAGTTTACTATACTCACAATTATTTTGACTAATGACGGAGGGACATTCAGTGCTTCAGGTATAATAATTGATGCCAAATTCTGCTTTGTATCATGATCGTATATGCTGAACCAGTCGATATCGAATACTGTTTTGTCTCCTGGTATCTCCAATGTGATCGTCAGGTTTTTGTAAGCTCTTAGTGGGTCCAAACTGGAAATCGGTAGAAATTCAACAAAAAAAATTACGAGTTTTTTTCAACATTTTGCGTGTGAGTTTCAAAATGACTGTGGTCTTATCGTGTAGGCGAATAAGTACAAATCCTCAATATTCTATATCAAACCAGTATTTTTTTTAATTTAATAAAAATAATTTGAATAACACAAATAATTGAAGTGGATTTAAGTCGAAATAACATACGAAAATCACCCTGTATAAAAATAAATGATCAGAAGTACACGCATTATGGCGTGAAAAAAGAACAGGACAATTTTGTTTTTGTGAGACTGTGAATAGAAAATAAGATGTTTTAAAATGGGTCCGTATTTCATACTATGAAATACAGTGAATAAGGTGACTTAACGTACTGCGCCATAACTTCCTTTCTTGATTTATAAGTCGGTTCGTTTCGTGAGATTGCAATCAATTGCTGCACTGTGTCAAAATTTGACTGACAATGTCGAATGGGGTTTGAGTTTTCAGTTTCTCGACATTTCGGCTTCAACTTTGAAGCCATTTTCAAGAAATGGTCCCCACCTGTCCACCTCTCAAGTAGTGACACGCTTTACGGGTTTCGTGACTCGACGCTAGGGTCTCAATCTGCCAACTCCCCAGGTCTCTTCTCCGCATGGGTGTCAATCTGCTTACTTCCAAGCGACGACTCCTTTCTATCGTTTCTCATTTTATTAATATGTGTTCGTATGTACTACTCATTCAATTCAATCGAAATGAGTGTCATTTCAATCAGTTCACTCTTGCCAAATTAAATTTGTCAGCATAAAAATTAGGTGCTCGGAATTCGATAGTGTCGACGAAGGCCATTTGTGTCTGGTTCTGATTGACGAAGGTTCTACCGGTGAGAAAGTTATCGAAATGCTTGAAAAGAAAGAAGTACACGCTGCTTGTTGTTCTCTCAGTCTCTTCACCAGACAGAATACAGGTCTCTGAAAAACTTAACAGTGACTTTATTCAGATCTTGCAATCCTATTTTTTCAATAAAAATTGGCTTTGGCGCATTATGGCGTGAAAAACGACAGGACAATTTTGTTTTTGTGAGACTGTGAATAGAAAAGAAGATATTTTAAAATGGGTCCGTATTTCATACTATGAAATACAATGAATAAGGTGACTTAACGTACTGCGCCAAAACTTCGTTTCTTGATTTATAAGTCGGTTCGTTTCGTGAGATTGCAATCAATTGCTGCACTGTGTCAAAATTTAACTGACAATGTCAAATAGGGCTTGAGTTTTCAGTTTCTCGACGTTTCGGCTTCGACTTTGGAGCCATTTTCAAGAAATGGTCCCCACCTGCCTACCTCTCAGGTAGTGACACGCTTTACGGGCTTCGTGACTCGACGCTAGGGTCTCAATCTGCCAACTCCGCAGGTCTCTTCTCCGCATGGGTGTCAATCTGCTTACTTCCAAGCGACGACTCCTTTCTATCGTTTCTCATTTCATTAATATGAGTTCGTATGTATTACTCATTCAATTCAATCGAAATAAGTGCCATTTCAATCAGTTCACTCTTGCCAAATTAAATTCGTCAGCATAAAAATTAGGTGCTCGGAATTCGATAGTGTCGACGAAGGCCATTTGTGTCTGGTCCTGATTGCCGAAGGTTCTACCGGTGAGAAAGTTATCGAAATGCTTGAAAAGATAGTAGTCAGTTGGCGCGAGGTCTGGGGGGTATGGTGGCCGAGGCAGAATTTCGACGCTCAATTCGTTTGATTTTCGGACGGTGACTTATGAAACGTGCAGACGAGCGTTTAATAGATGACACCAGAACCCAACTAGGTTTTCTAATTGGATATTCTGTTATTAATATTTCATCATGTATTTGAATTGGTAGCGTAGCGAGTTCTCATATAGATGAACTGAGCCGTGTTTTTTCATATTAATTTAACTGAGAATACTTACTATCCATATTCATCTGGTACCTTGAAACCTTTGGAAGCAGGTTGGGCTCCAACTCCTATCCAGAAGTACGCCTTTTTCGCTTTCCCGTCGTAGGAAAACTGGTTCAGTCTTATCCTTTTAGCGTCCAAGATTTCCACGGACTCCGTCGTGATTCCATTCACTTTTCCAACGAGAGATGATATCTTCTGGACGGTTGGAGGTTCAAAACCCTCCGGGACGTAAATGTCTCCAAAAGTGTTTTGGCTCCAAATGTCGTATATAGCGAACCACTTGATGTCCGTTATTTTTTTCTTGTCCGGCAAGACCAGGGTGAAATCCTTGTTGAAATATCGTTCCAGGACGTTGGTCCTAGAAGAACAAATTAAGAAATGACGCACGTGTACAGAGTGCAATATAAGAATGTGGTACAGGTAATCAAAAATGCATATTTCAAGAGCGTTTCTGACTAATCAACAAGTAACAACAAGTTAGATTGACCAAGGTTGAAAGCCTGCAAAAAATTCTATTATATTTATGTTCTGTGACATCTGTAATGTTCTATGACATAAAGACATTTGACGTTTGAAATAAAGAGAAGAGGTAGTTCTGTGACATCTGTAATATTCTATGACATCTGTAATGTTCTATGACATAAAGACATTTGACGTTTGAAATAAAGAGAAGAGGTAGTTCTGTGACATCTGTAATATTCTATGACATCTGTAATATTCTATGACATCTGTAATATTCTATGACATCTAGACATTTGACGTTTGAAATAAAGAGAAGAGGTAGTTCTGTGACATCTGTAATATTCTATGACATCTGTAATGTTCTATGACATCTAGACATTTGACGTTTGAAATAAAGAGAAGAGGTAGTTTTATACTGAATGCTCAAAAGAAACAAGTGTTTTTATTCATTCAACAGATCAAACCAACAACTATACTGTTGCAAATTTCTTCATCTCACTATTATTTGAGTGGAGACGACAAAACCTCTCCTTTCTTTAGGTACAACAAATGATTCAATCGACGAATATAAAATATAAAAGAGGCTCCCTAAAGTGGTCATTTGGAAAGCTAAGCTTTGACATCGTCCGCTGAACGAGATTCGCCTTTGTCTTTCTCTGTGACTTTCAGTATAAAGCAACTTGAAGAAACCAGAGCCAAAAAACCAAACCTGGCCCCACTGATAAACCCTAGGCGGGTCGAAACAGCGCTGTCTGGTGTTTGATCACGATTGTTTTGTTTTTGGTCTCTGTTCTTACTAGCATTTGTTCAACCCAAAACTGTTATTGTAAAGTAAGTTACCTTACCTTACTGATACAGAGTTCAAGAATCCGGATGTCTGAATTCTATTTTAGACTCAGTGAAAATGTTCGTTCGACTCAGGTATAACTGTCATTAATTAGTTCCTAGAATATTATTAGTTTCCAGGTATTCAAAAAGTATATATAGTCTCATGGCGACGGAGATATCTTCGCTCTATTAGAGAAATACGTTCTGCTCACAATAAGATTTATTATCTGGACGAAACGTGGGTGAATGCTGGTCACACAGTATCTAAGATCTGGCAAGATAGTACTGTAACTAGTCATCGTCAAGCATTTGTGGACGGTTTATCAACAGGGTTACGCGGACTAACGGATAAAGGGCAACGACTAATTGTCGCCCACATAGATAGCGAGAGTGGCTTCTTAGACGATAGTGCACTAATTTTATTATCCATAAAACGGGGGATTATCACGAAGACATGGACGCCCAACGCTTTGAAGGATGGTTTGAATCCCTTCTTTCACGAGTCGAGCCAAATTCGGTAATAGTAATGGATACCGCTTCTTATCACAGCCGATTAGTAGAACAGCTGCCAACTATGACCACCAGAAAAGCAGACATGCAGAGTTGGTTAAAACAAAAAGGAATTCCATTTTCCGAAGACATGGTTAAGGCCGAGCTTATGAGTGTCATTAAACAGCATCGTGACAGATATCGCCAGCATGTGGTGGATACAATAGCTCGTGCTGAAGGCATCACCGTTTTGAGACTTCCTCCTTACCATTGCGAGTTAAACCCGATAGAATTAATCTGGGCTCAAATTAAGGGTTACGTAGCTCGTAAAACCGTGACATAAAATTTCTGATGTCCAACGTTTATTAGAACTCGCAATGGAACGGATACGGAAAGAAGATTGGGCTAATGCTGTAGCCCATGTGATCAAGGAAGAAAAGAAAATGTGGAGACTGGACGGGATGGTAGACACTGTTTTCGACCAAATAATAATAGATGTAAGTGTGACTGGGGATTCCTCTTCGGAAGAGTCAATGGATTCTGAAACTTCATAACTATAACATAGGTAATTATTTCTTTGCTTTGTAGTATCAGTTTCACCAGTGACACCAGGTAGCGCCACCTACTATAACAATTTTTACATAATTACAGGTGTTTAAATAAATGAAAATATTATTTTGGTACGCCTCTGCAGAGTTGGTAAGAGGATTATCCGTTGGTCACTCCAAGTGCGACGTTGCTAATGAATCACCTTCAATTGAAAATTGTTATAGTATATAGAAGTACATAATTTGGCGTATGTGAAGTTATGTTACAATTCCAAAGAAATTATTGAAAACACTTGCCCCTCCCAAAACAAAAATACCATCTTTTGATTCGTATTCAGCTTCAACTCCTGATGATCCATTTGAAAAACGTAACTTTGATGCCCACGCATTGACTAAATACCTGACATATCGGTAAAAAATTTAAAAAGGCTTTTGCAGCCCCAGCACACTTCCTTGCGGCACTCTATTTCATGATCAGAAACAAAAAGCGCATATTTATTGTTCAGTTTTTCGTCCTATTGAAATAATTATACCAATTTATCTCCCTCCACTCACTTGCCGTTGGAATCAGGTACGATAAATCCCTGTGGTCCGGGCCTGTTGGCTGCCCCGGCCCAGAAAAAAGTGTCCGCCCCATTTCCATCATAACTGAAGGAATTTAGGAGCAGTGTCCAGTCGTTGACAGCATAAATATCCCCGGATACTTGATGGTGATACGAGTTTAGTTTTCCCAAGAATTTTCCTCGATACGGGCCGTCTTCATCCTGAGAGATACCTGGAAAATCAGTGAAAATCTAATTTGTTGCATACTGACAGCATAAGTGGGGCTCAAAATTATTGGTTACAATAGTTGAGACCAACTTATTGATAAATGGGTTTCATTCGAATAGATCTGAAGATCTCCAGATTTAATCTTCGTTGATTGTTTCAGGTATCAAATTTTGAGAGACGATGGATTAGTAGTATTTTTGAAGATTCAATTTTTCACTCATTTCATTCGTTCTTCCACTGATTTCATTCGTTCTTCCACTGATTTCAGTAAAAGTTGTTCTCAAATATCTTCCATGTACAGGGTGTTAATTAAGTATTTACCATAAATTCAACAGACGAATCTTTAGGCAATTTAAAGACGAAATGTTCATATAAACAATGCTTCGCAAATCCATCGTTCTCAAGATACAGGGTGTTGAAATAAAAATAAAAAAAAGTTATTCGTAAATATCTTGAATATCCTTAACCTAATTTTGTTGTAATTTGGCAATGGTATTTATAACATTAAGGAGCTAATTTAGCCCGAACGTGATTCAATTCATAAAGTCCAGTGGCGTCTCGAGCGGGATTTGATGTATGCTACTGATGTACGCTACTGACTTTTGTGCAATTTTCATTATTTCTTTGGATTAAGCAATTAGAAATACAGCTTTTTGTCTCTTGAATTTTTTTTAGTATCTTGCTTAGTTTTTAAGAAAAAAAGTCTACCTAATTGCATATCCTCACAAGGAATAATATGGGGAATTAAATGTTTCTTTTGGAAATTATTATTTTTACAATTGTTCATTACTAATTGTGTTACAATAACAGCAAATATTAAATAACATCAACATCTAGACCAGTGGTCGCCAACCTGTCGATCGCGAGCTACCGGTAGCTCGCGGAGGCAATTATGGTAGCTCTCACAACGATTTTAATTTAAAAAATACAAACTGCAAAAATCAGAGAAGCTTCCGAAAATTCCACAAAAAATCTAATTGTCATAATATTAAACATTAACAGCGGCAACGTTGGGGTGAGCGATCTGCCGCTGACGTCATCAAGCTAGAATCGGCTAAAACCGACCAGCCGGACCAGCGCGTTAGTGTTCGAGAATGATCTGGATTGCTTTGAACGCGATAAATACGCACGGCGCGGCGACATTGCGCTTAGTTTAAAACTGAACGCGTAACCAACGTCCAGCGGTTGGGTTAGTAGAGAACAACAAAAATAATATTATGGCAAGCAGTTGTAAGAAGGTAAAGACATACCACTTTCATTCGAAATGGGAAGAACAATACTTGTTTACAGAAGTTAAAGATAAAAATGTGTGTTTGTTATGTAATACTTCGGTCTCCGTTGCTAAAAAAGGAAATATTGAAAGATCGACGGTTGTCATTGAGAGGCCTGCAACGCTACGAACAGTTCAAATTGAAGAAGCTGTTTTGAATGAGATTAAAGTAAATCGTCATACCAGTACCTACTCGGAAAATAGCTGAAGAACTGAATATTACCCATGTCACAGTGTGGCAGATTTTAAGAGCTCCCTATCACATGCAACGTGTGCAAGCTCTATTGCCCAGAGATTTGCCTGTAAGACTGGCTTTTTCCAATTGGTTACGCGGTAAAATAAGAAATCCAGGTTTCCTAAGTCGAATATTGTTTACAGATGAAGCTTGTTTTTCTCGCAATTCAATTATTAACTTCCACAACAATCACATTTGGGCCGAAAACAATCCACACGCCTTGATAGAAAATAATTTTCAAGTTTTCTTTTAATATTTGGGTTGGAACTCTCGGTGACCATCTCATTGGACCTCACTTCCTTCCACCTAGACTTAATGGAGAAGAATACCGAAGGTTTTTAGAATTTGTTTCTCCTGGACTTTTAGAAGAAATTCCAGTCATGGAAAGATTCCGTATGTGGTACATGCACGATGGTGCTCCACCACACTTTAGTACAGTGGCACGGCCATTTTTGGATGAAAATTACCATAATCGCTGGATAGGGAGAGCAGGCCCACACCTATGGCCACCTCGCTCGCCCGAAATGAATCCCTTAGATTATTTTCTCTGGGGATACCTTAAAACGTTGGTATACAAAACTGCTATTCAAAGTGAAGAGAATTTACGGAATAAAATCATTAATTCATGTGACATAAATACGAAATTCAATGATGCGGCGGCTAGACGGTCGTATTGAAGCCGAAGGAGGCCATTTCCAACACTCAATTGAGTGCAATTCGTTAGTCTAGATGTTAATGTTATTTAATATTCCTTGTTTTTGTTACATAATTGGTAATGAAAAATTGTAAAAATAATAATTTCCAAAAGAAACATTTAATTCCCCATATTCCTTGTGAGGTCCAGGGATATGCAATTAGGTCGACTTTTTTTTCTTAAAAATTAAGCAAGATACGAAAAAAATTTAGTATACAAAAAAGTTGTATTTCTAATTGCTTAATCCAAAGAAATAATAAAAATTGCACAAAAGTCAGTGGCGTACATTTTTAAGTCAAAAATATTCGTTCAAATCCCGCCCGAGACGCCACTGGACTTGATAAATTGAATCACGTTCGAGCTGAATTATCTCCTTAATGTTATAAATACCATTGCCAAATTACAACAAAATTAGGTAAAGGATATTTAAGATATTTACGAATAACTTTTTTTTTATTTTTATTTTAACACCCTGTATCTTGAGAACGAAGGATTTGCGGACCCATGTTTATATGAACATTTCATCTTGAAATTACCTAAAGAATCGTCTGTTAAATTTATAGTACATACTCAATTAACACCCTGTATAAACAGCGATCAGGTAAATTTGTGTTGCATTCAATTTCTCTTTCTTTATTTAAAACAACCCACTTTGTAGACGCAATCGGGGAAATAGAAAGCCAAAAAGTTCCTCCCCAATAAATATTTCTTGATTTCTTTTTCGACAAATAAATAACCAGTAATTTTGAACAAAATGAAAAGAAACGGAGTATCCGGGTTTGAAACTGGACGTCACTCAAAGCAAGGAACCACCAAAAATTAGTCACTCTCCCTCGAAACATACGTTGAAAGTGAAATTACATTCTGATCGGCCAAAAACAACAGAAGAATACTTACTTGAATCGAGCGTGGCAAACAGTACAACAAAGAACACACTTCTCATCTTAGAACTATTTTTTTCATTTTCGATTGTTGTTGTCACCTTTCGTAGTTATGTCTTTGTTTCACGGTTCAACATACTCGAGGTTCGCACTAACGGTTGTGAAGGATCGGTCTCCGCAGACAACCCAGTATCAACTTTCTAAATATGTCTTGGTGATTTCTATAGTCAGCCAAGGTTGAATGCCTCCACGTGATAGTACAGGTAATTATCGGTAATTCACGGCTGATACCGGTGGATTATTCATAGCTTTCTTGTAATAGCCACGTCAATTAATACCTAAATCAAGCACAGCTTGGAATCTGACGTTTTTTTTTTATATTTTCCAAAACAAGAACGAGCGGACAAAAATTAATGTTATGTAATAATGGCGTGTTGAACTAAAAGTTCTTTATGAAATCATCCCTAAACTGTAACAAGCCAAGAAGGTATTGTATAGCTGAACACGTGTGTGGCGGTTTTGTAAACTGTTTATTAAATCAATATATAGTATAAAACAAAGTCGCTTCCCGCTGTCTGTCCCTATGTATGTTTGCTTAGATCTTTGAAACTACGCAACG